AAGAATGGTAGTATAAAGATTTCCCAATTAGATAATTCTAGTTAATCATATAACAAATTGAATCATCGGTTTTAATAGGAGTGGACAAATGGCGGATCGGTCTGCCTTCGGTCTGGGACGATATTATATACTCCTTCCGTCTCAAAATAATGGTCCATTTTGGAGAATTCAACTTTTTTTAGTAGTACAATTATTGTACTTTTAAAAAGTTAGTTTTCCAAAATTACCCTTTAATAGTACACTTTTTTGAGAATATCAATGTCATAATTGTACTTTTTATATTATTTATGAATTTAAAAGAAGGGCAAAATGAGAAATTTATATTATTTTTGTACTTGATTTTTGAAGAGGGACTAATATTTTGGGACAATGAAAAATGGAATAAGGGACTAATATTATGGGACGAAGTGAGTAATAAGAAATTTGTATATCTGTTCAAGTCCAGCTCGGTTCTAATATCAAACTTTTATGTTTATCTAAACTCAGTTAAAAAAATAATTATAAATCTCAAATTCATCCATCGAGTTATACGTTTAAGAAAAATTAAAACACTTCATAATTAAATTCAATCATATTATGTTTCTTAAATTAATATATTGACATCATTATAAATTGAGACACTTTTTCATAAATCTCTTTTCACCTATTTATATTTCATATAGTCTACAATATTTTTTTATATTCCAATAAATCATATGAGTGACAAGTTACCGAAATACCTTTAATAATATTCACATTTACAGTGTGAATGTTTCGTGATGTGAATGTTCACACAGTTAATGTGAATGTTCACACTATCAATGTGAATGTTAACATATAAATGTGAATGTTCACGCTATCAATGTGAATATTCACATTGTAAAATATGAATGTTCGCATCGCCAAATTGCTAATCGTTCAAAAAATATTTGTAAGGGTAAAAATATCCATAAAATACTTTAAATATGAGAATTAGGATTTGGTAGATCAAATATTCAAATAATAAGATTTATTGGAATACAAAAATATCTTATGGATTAATTGGGATACAAATACTTGAAAAATAATTTTCTAATAAATCTCCCATATAAATTGAAAGATTTATGTATAAATTGATTTTTTTAAAAATAAATTCAATTACATATTACTATAAATGTGAGTTTCAATAAAATCAATAAACATAAAGTCTAAATTCTAAATATATATATATTCTGATATTTTATAAATAAATAAATAAATAATTAAGTGGGGGCCGGGCTGGGTTGAATGTACAAATCGCAATCCCAAGCCCAACCCATTAATATTTCGAGCTGAAAATATTGACCTAGCCCGGCCCTATGAGTTAAAACAATCTTTTCAAATTCTAAAAAAATAGGACTGGACTGGGTGGATTGGATAGGCTAACTGACCAATGTCCACCCTAGTTTTTAATATAATAATCCCAATTATGTTATAGTATTAAGGAAAAATTAGTGATAAGTCCACTTTTATAGGTGTATTATGTATATGATATTAATTCTACTGATTGATCTATTTTGGTTTTAAAACCTTGGATAATGAAATATATCGATGAGAAGTATAAATCATTATTTTAGAGAACATTTCTTTTCTAGATTGTATTTTTGTACTCTTTCTATTTTTTCTCTCTTTATTTACACACAATATCAATTGCCACCCGTGAGAAAATAGATAGATTGGTGGAGGTAATATTTTTTTTATCATTATGGACAAGAAAGAATAGAATTTGAGATAATTACTTCATTTTAAATTTGGACCGGTAGCGCAAGCGCCTTAAATTTATCAAGATTTGATGAAGAATAGTATAAAGATTTCACAATTAGATTAATTATAGTAATCATATAACAAATCGAATCATGGGTTTTTAATATAATAATGCCAATTATGTTATAGTATCAAACTATGATAATGCCAATTATGTTATAGTATCAAGCTATTATAATGCCAATTATTTATAGTATCAAGATATTAGTTAGGGAGTTCATTTGTCGGCCAGCACACAACTTGATTTTTTATTTTGAGAAACATGACTTGATTGAAAGTGTAGATAAATCAAACTATTAAATTTTTTTAATATTCAAATCGAGTGGGCTACTAATTTATGGAGTAAATTAAGGAACCATTCATGTGGACAATACAGCAAATACGTGAGCTCAGTTTTAAATAACATTATGTATTTCTAAAGCACACAACTCATTTCGATGAAGTTTGCTATACAATTTCTCTGCGTCGAAACGGAAATTTATCAGAGTCAATCACAAATGTTGAGAAATTTTAATTACTATGAAAATATTATATGTCTTTTATCTTATAGAATCTTAATATCAAATATCTTAAAAAATATTTTCCTAATTTATTAATTTTGTAGTATATATATTTATACTAGTAGTTGATCGATACGATACACGAGATAAAAGAATTTTTTTTTATCATTAACAAAAAATAAATTATCACTTATAAAACAATTGCGGCTATTTATTTTATTTAAATATTTTTTTTTCTATTTTTTAATATTTTTCTATTAATTTACATTATGTATGTTTTTCTCCTAACAAATGGTGGCATTTTTGTAAATAATTTCAGCTTTAAGTGGCATATACACAATTTACCTCAATTTCTACCACTTAGGCGTTAATGAGAGGAATTATTTCAAGATACACCCAACTAAGGTTTTATGCAGATGATTTGTCAAAAGACCAGACTAATTCGACAATTATAGTCATATAAATATTTTATTAAATCAATCTAATTTTTTCATAAATGGTCTACACAAACCAAACAATGAATAGAGTGGAGTGGATTATCAAAATAGAACCAACTCTCAAGAAGGGTGACAGACTCTCAAGATGGTGGACTGAGTATTCCAATCATTTTGAAGGATTGGAAGTAAAATACCACAATTATTAGGTCACTTAAGCGGTTACCTAAGGCCCACAAAACATTATATATATATATATATATATTTTTTTTTTTTAATTAACAACGACCTTAACTTTTTAGTCAAGTAATTTTTTTAGTCAAAAAGTCACTAAAAAGCTAGCAATTTATACTAAAAAGTCAAAGATTCTCTTTTCTCTCTACTTTTTGCATATCTTTTCATAAAAAGTCAAAAAATCATCCCAAACATACTAGTTTTTTTTATATCATATTTTAGTCAAAAAGTCAAAAAGTTACTAAAAAAATCTGTTCTCAAACGAAACCTAGCACTACAAGAAAACACATTTTTGGCGACCATTTTTGGCTACCAAAACAAATTTAGTCGCCAAAAGTGTGGGAATTGGCTACCAAAATTAATTTTAGTCGGCAAAAGTCAACTTTTTAGCTACTAATTTTTTTTAGTAGGGGAATGTTGATTATTGGCCACTAAAATAAATGTAGTAGCTAAAAATATTACAATTGGCCACTAAAAAAATTTTTAGTAGCTAAACATATCACAATTGGCGACTAAAATAAATTTTAGTAGCCGTAGGGGCACCTTTAGCTACTAAATTGTTTGGTAGCCGAATGAAAATTAAAAAATTTATTTTTGATCTTCGGCGACCAAAATTTTGGTCGCCAAACATATATTTTCAGCGACAAAATAACATTTAGTCGCTGTAGACCTACTTTTGGCTACTAAATTGTTTGGTAGCCGAATGAAAATTAAAAAATTTATTTTTGGTGTATTTTGTGATTAAAAATTTAATATAATAAACTAGTTACAACTTAATTAAATCCACTTGGCCCATGATTTCTTCATCTGTCTTTATCTATGACAAAATATACATATTGCATGTTCTAAAATTCTAAATCAAATTGATTAGTGCCTAGTTAGTATAATATTTTAAAATATATTCTTATAAAATTTTAAAATATATAAGAATATATTATTATCTGTCATAAAATTTTAAAATATAAGAATATAAGAAAATATAAGAATATAATATTTTAAAATATATTATTATATTTTTCAGTAAAAAAACATCAGTAAAAAAACGTATTAGATATTTTAATATTTTTAATTTATATTTAGTCGGTATTTAATTTACTTTTAGCGACCAAATTTTAGTTGGCAATTATAATTAAAAATTTAAAAAATTGGACTTCAGATTTTGGGGGGCAAAATTAATTAGCTACTAAACATTTTCGTCGGAGAAAAGGCTTTATTTCTTATGGGCGACTAAAAACGTTTGTCGGGAAAGAATAAACTAGGTTTAAGATGTACACTTCCACACCACACGCTCTAACTCTCTCATACATCTCTGTCTACCTCTGCTCTCCTCCCGTTCTCTCTGTCTTTCTCTCTCTCTCTCACTTTTGTCTCCATCGTTACCGGAGCATCACCGCCATCACACATGAGCACCACCGTCAATCCCCAGGTATGTCCTCTCTCTATTTTTCGGTCTCTCTTCCCCTAATTTCAGCCTCTAGGGTTTTCTTCTTCCATTTGCATACATTCACACATACCCGACCCCAAATCGATGGGGTTTCTTCTTCTTCTATTTGTTGAATTTGTGCTTTTCTTCGTAACTACGATGGCTCAGAAGTAGTTTGAAACAATGCCTCTCTTAGTCCAGAACACCATCTGGGTATCTCTCAAAAGACACAAATCCAGATGGGTTCTTCTATTTTCTCAATAGCTTTGTATGTGCAGGTCAAATTAACATGAAATGGATTTGATTCTTAGCTGTGACTCTATTTTTTAGTAGTTATTCATTCTGTTTTAATATGATTTTTATTGGATTGGTTTGGAATGGTGTTTTCTCTGTTTGTGTTGGTGTGTATACATAGTGTGTATATATAAATCTGTAGTATGTATGATTTAAAATCTGTTTGTGTGTATATATAAATTTGGTTGTAAAATTCTGTTTGTACATATATAAATATGTTTATATATATGAATTTTGTCATAAACAGGCCTGAAGGAATATATAAAATATGTTTATATATACAAAATATGAGACTGTCATCTGTATATATAAAATATATAAAATATGTTTATATATATAAATCTCATCTGTACTTTTATAATAATTCTATTTAATTGCATTTTCTTGAACAGGCCTAAAGGAACTGAGACTCTTTGTTCAGATCTGCAAGTAGACCATACTGATGTCAGGATATTGATGCTTGCCTGGTAAGTTTCTTTTGTAGTCAGTAAGACTTCCCAAGTTATTAATCTTTAAAACAATATAATTGATGGACTACTCATTTCAGGAAGATGAAAGCTGAAAAACAAGGATACTTTACCCTGGTAAGCAGAACAGTTCTGATATACACATTGAATATAATAATCCTATTTGTTGAACCTACTTCCTAGTGCTATTGTCATATACCCAAATCTGCAACTCCAGTAGTCTATCCGTCATCTAAATCTTCAATATGCCATGTTCTTGAAAATCCAACCACGAAAATGTCAATGTTTGACTTCAAAGCATTGACTTGGTTTTCATTAAAAAGATGTTGAATTTTTTTTTTTGGGTGATAAATTTGGGGTAAATTACACCAAGACCTGAGCTATGACTCTGTTTCACTTAATCCCCTTTCACCTGAAAAACATGACAGCTTGTATACATTTTCCTTTTTGTTTGCTGTCGTCAACCCCTCATAAATACACCATATTTTTATATATGTATTGTGACGGAGAAGATATTACCAGCACACTGTAAGTTCTTGCTCTTCACAGCTCTGCTTTTGTGAACTTAGGAACACTAATGTCTCGTTGTTTTGTAAATTCTATGATCACCATGTTTGCTGATTTGCCTTGGGTTTTATAACTATAGCTGTTATTTTTCTCATTACTATTATGTACACTTGCATAGGACAAATTAGGACCACTCAATATGAGTCAAAATCTTGTTTGAACCTCGTTCCCATCGAGATAGAATTCGATTTCAACTGGGATGGGACCACTCAAACATATGAATTTGGTTCTCTTCTTAGGAATTAAAGGATTGGGATTTTTTTATGGATATTTCAGTTTGGACTTGTGAGGATTGAAGAGTAAAGATATATGTTATTGGTGATGAATTGTTACTTTTGTAATAAGAATTTACTATATTTATGAGTTTAAGTGAATTTACTATATCTATGAGTTTAAGTGCTAGTACAATGTTTGTGAATTTACCTTTCTAATATGTCTGTTATACAGTAGGCATAATAATGGGATCCTCTTATGTTAGCTGGGGACTTGGATTCCTTGTATAAGTATATTTGTATAGATTTGGCTTCTATTCGGTGAAATAGATTGTAAAGGTTTGCTTGGAAAATTTAAAAAGGATTTTTTTCCCCATTGGTTCTGCACAAAATTTAGAGTTGGATTTGACATAAAGGCAAATATTCATTATCTTTTTGTTGGAAGTTAACTTTCTCTATCTTTGTCGCTCTCGCTGTAGTGGTTGTAATAGGTGAATATACTCACAAGGAAATGAATGTGTATATAATATATATTTCTAAGAATTTTTTTCCCCAATATTATAATGTTGTTGTGAACTCAGTGCTTGGTGGGCCATTAAGTCAAACTTCATCAATTTAGAAGAAAACTAGATAAATAGTGTCCTAGTACAAAATTTTTAATGTTCAACTGCTGTTGAGTCATATTTTATTCTTTTTTTTTTCTTTTTCTGCTAGGCCACAATGGGAAGGTGGTCAGTATGGGGGTGATGAAAACATGCGGTTGGATACACTTCGTTTAGCTAAAGAACTGGGAGCAGATTATATTGATTTGGAGCTCAAGGTATTTGTATTTGACATCAATTCATCTGCAGGAAAATACATTGAATTCTGTTAGATGATGTCAAGTTATTTGGAATTTTACATGCTTTCTCCAACAAAATTTGAACTAATTACAAGCCAAGAAGTCTAATCATATTCAAAGCAACTTAAACAAACTGTAATCTGATGTCATTTTCCCTGGCTCAATGGTGGCCCTGGTTGCTCTAGCTTTGATGGATTTGTCTATGAGCACGGTAATCATTCAATCAATTATTTTTTTTTTTTTACATTCTAAGAATATATTATTGATTATGTTTAGTCATTTTTTTTTTCTTTTCTTTGTGTTACTGTATGGTTTCCATATTGTCTTTTTTGGTTTGTTGAGGAAAACTTGATTGAAGCTTTTGCTAATCTTGTGAATCACTAAAACTGCTTGGATTCCTTGGATTGAGGCACAGATGAAAATTTTATACTGTGTACTTCAAAATATGTGAAGTGTGTACTTCAAAATATGTGAAGTGTGTACTTCAAAATATGTGAAGTGTGTACTTCAAAATATGTGAAGTGTGTACTTCAAAATATGTGAAGTGTGTACTTCAAAATATGTGAAGTGTGTACTTCAAAATATGTGAACTAATCGTTCAAAAAATATTTGTAAGGGTAAAAATATCCATAAAATACTTTAAATATGAGAATTAGGATTTGGTAGATCAAATATTCAAATAATAAGATTTATTGGAATACAAAAATATCTTATGGATTAATTGGGATACAAATACTTGAAAAATAATTTTCTAATAAATCTCCCATATAAATTGAAAGATTTATGTATAAATTGATTTTTTTAAAAATAAATTCAATTACATATTACTATAAATGTGAGTTTCAATAAAATCAATAAACATAAAGTCTAAATTCTAAATATATATATATTCTGATATTTTATAAATAAATAAATAAATAATTAAGTGGGGGCCGGGCTGGGTTGAATGTACAAATCGCAATCCCAAGCCCAACCCATTAATATTTCGAGCTGAAAATATTGACCCAGCCCGGCCCTATGAGTTAAAACAATCTTTTCAAACCCTAAAAAAATAGGACTGGACTGGATGGATTGGATAGGCTAACAGGCTGATATCCACCTCTAGTTTTTAATATAATAATCGCAATTATGTTATAGTATTAAGGAAAAATTAGTGATAAGTCCACTTTTATAGGTGTATTATGTATATGATATTAATTCTACTGATTGATCTATTTTGGTTTTAAAACCCTGGATAATGAAATATATCGATGAGAAGTATAAATCATTATTTTAGAGAACATTTCTTTTCTAGATTTTATTATTGTACTTTTTCTATTTTTTCTCTCTTTATTTTGCACACAATATCAATTGCCACCCGTGAGTAAATAGATAGATAGGTGGAGGTAATATTTTTTTATCATTATGGACAAGAAATAATAGAATTTGAGATAATTACTTTATTTTAAATTTGGACCGGTAGCGCAAGCGCCTTAAAATTATCAAGATTTGATGAAGAATAGTATAAAGATTTCACAATTAGATTAATTATAGTAATCATATAACAAATCGAATCATGGGGTTTTAATATAATAATGCCAATTATGTTATAGTATCAAACTATGATAATGCCAATTATGTTATAGTATCAAGCTATTATAATGCCAATTTTTTATAGTATCAAGATATTAGTTAGGGAGTTCATTTGTCGGCCAGCACACAACTCGATTTTTTATGTTTTCATTTTCATTTTTATTTTGAGAAACATGGCTTGATTGAAAGTGTAGATAAATCATACTATTAAATTTTTTTAATATTCAAATCCAGTGGGCTACTAATTTATGGAGTAAATTAAGGAACTATTCATGTGGACAATACAGCAAATACGTGAGCTCAGTTTTAAATAACATTATGCATTTCTAAAGCACACAACTCATTTCGATAAAGTTTGCTATACAATTTTGATTCCTAAAAAAGTTATAGAAAGATTATATATTTTTTAAATAAATATACAATCAAAGTTATAAATATATTTTTTAATAAATATACAATCAATCAAAGTTATAAATACATTTTTTACATAAATATACAATCAATCAAAGTTATAAATACATTTTTTACATAAATATACAATCAATAAGTAAAACAAACAATCAAATACTACTGTCCATTTCACACACAAGCTCTCTCTCTCTCTCTCTCTCTCTCTCTCTCACCCATAATCATCATGTATTGACAGTTTCAATTGCAGATAATAGTGTGCCTTAATTTATTGAGAAAATTAGTAAAATATTTCTCTCCAACTTTATGTAGTAGAAAAGATTCAAAATATTTTTTTTATTAGTTAAGGTTCCTTAATGAAATTTCTTTATGCAAATTGAAATTTCTCTGTGTCGAAACGGAAATTTATCTGAGTCGGGCACAAATGTTGAGGGATTTTAACTACTATGAAAATATTGTATATTTTTTATCTTATAAAATCTTAATATCAAATATCTTAAAAAATATTTCTCTAATTTATTAATTTTGTAGTATATATATTTATACTAATAGTTGATTGATACGATACACGAGATAAAAGAATTTTTTTTATCATTGACAAAAAATAAATCATCACTTATAAAACAATTGCGACTATTTATTTTATTTAAATATTTTTTTTTCTATTTTTCTATTAATTTACATTATGTGTGTTTTTCTCCTAACAAATGGTGGCATTTTTGTAAATAATTTCAGATTTAAGTGGCATATACACAATTTACCTCAATTTCTTCCACTTAGGCGTTAATGAGAGGAATTATTTCAAGATACACCCAACTAAGGTTTTATGCAGATGATTTGTAAAAAGACCAGACTAATTCGACAATTATAGTCATATAAATATTTTGTTAAACCAATCTAATTTTTTCATAAATGGTCTACACAAACCAAACAATGAATAGAGTAGAGTATAAATAGAGTAGAGTGGATTATCAAAATAGAACCGACTCTCAAGAAGGGTGACAGACTCTCAAGAAGGTGGATTGAATATTCCAATCATTTTGAAGGATTGGAAGTATTTTTCAAAAATAGCACAATTATTAGGTCACTTAAGCGGTTACCTAAGGCCCACAAAAAAAATATATATTATTATTATTATTTTATTAACAAAGACCTCAACTTTTTAGTCAAGTAGTTTTTTTAGTCAAAAAGTCACTAAAAAGCCAACAACTTATACTAAAAAGTTAAAGATTCTATTTTCTCTCTATTTTTTGCACTTCTTTTCATAAAAAGTCAAAAAATTATCCCAAACATACTAGTTTTTTTTATATCATATTTTAGTCAAAAAGTTATTAAAAAAATCTATTCCCAAACGAAACCTAGTTAGATAAGGTCTCATTTTGATTTAACGTCTACAAAAATCTTGAGTCGTTGCTGTTTTTCATATAACTATTCTATTATGTAAAATACACACAACTCACTTGATTTTGAAATTTTATCACACAATTTTAATTTTAAAAATCACAGCAAAACCAAAGTTTTTACTTCTCTTAGGCAATTTTTATAATCATCAAAACGTAAAAGCAACATACCAAAATTTGTTGCCCACCATACATGGCAGACGGTAATGTGTTTAGTCTTGTGGAAAAGGTTACAGGCACATCTCAAAAAAGTGTGTTTAGGTCTCAATGGGGGAGTTTCAATTTTAATTTAAAATCAAAAAGTTAATAAAAAATAAAATAAATTATATAAAAAAAGCTAAAGATTTTCTTATTTTTTTACTTTTATATATTTTTTCGAAACATACTAATTTTTTTTTTTATCTCATACTTTAGTGAAAAATCTAAAAAATTACTAAATAGTTTGTTCCCAAACAAGGCCTAGTTTATACTTTATAATTTTTATTATAAAAAACATAACTTTAACAATAATACTAGAAACTCATCCTTATCGACTCAGAATTTATACGAAAGAAGAAATTCATGACTCAAATTCATTTCATATATGAATCTCACAATTCATCAATTCAATCTTTATCACACAAATACATGTGGGGTCTATAAAGGCGAGTTCCTAGTATTTTTCTAACTTTTAGTATTAAAATTTTAGGAATGCACACCTTAACTTCGATCAGAAATTTAATAATTTTTATTACAAAAATCATAACTTCTCTTACATGTACACTTTTTTAAATGTATTCATATATATATATATATAGATAGAGAGGGGTAGGCTCATCCTCTCTTCACCAAACCTTTTATCTATTTTTGTGGATGAAGCACTCATTGGAAAGGATAGGGTTTCATGGGCATGGGCCGGATGTAAAAATTAAAAAAAAAAAGAAAAAAAAGAAGGTATAGGGGTTGACAAAACAAGGATTGTTCGTGGGGAAGCGGACCCAACAAACATCTAAAAAGCTGTGATCATGCAACGTTCGAAAAATGGAAAAACAAAATTGGATGATCATGGAGGAGGGTCAACCGTTATCAGAATCTGGTGCTGTTTTCAGAGGAACAAAGCACACACCATGCATGGAATCCATTCACTCTTAAGACATTAATTATTATTATTAATCCTAGAATCTTTGGTGATAGTGGTGTTCTCTAGATAGAATGATTTTTTGCTTAAGAAGCAGGCAATCCCATCTATCATTCATGTATATAAATATATTTGTAATATATATATATATATATAATAGTATGTGCATACCTGATGAGTGTGTTGTTGAAATTATAAATTATAATTTGAATTCAGTTTTTTACATTAGTTGATTAAGTAGGTCGGATACTGAAGAAAATTATAATTACACAAGATTATTGTGGGAAGAACAAAAAAAAAAGTAATCATTTATACCAATTCGGAAAATGTTAGGAATCTCAAATTTTTACCCACATTTCTAATCCCACATAAATATAAAACATTTAATAAAAATATTAATAAAATATTTAAATTTACTAAAATTACCCGTACCAACTCAAAAAATATTAGGGATTCCAAATATTTACCAACATTTCTAATTCCACATAAATATAAAACATTTGATAAAAATATTAATAAAATATTTAAAATCTCTACCCTTACTCATACCAACTCAACTGTAGGTTTTATTCTTTCAGAAGTAAATGTCTCGGTATCTACAGCTCATTCCCATCTCACAAATGCTTGCTCCGGTCTAGGGCAAAAGTTATTGGAAATTTTTGAGGAAAAATGATAATGACTGTCACTAGTTTGCGTAACTGTATTAAAAAATATATTAATATATGTAAAAAAGTGTATCGTAATATATGATAATTTGCATTGATTCATTTTAAATTAAAAGGCCCATTAAATTTGTTTCTTATATAAAATGTTATGATAAAATTATTCGGTTGAAATTTTTTGTCCAAAATTTGAGTTTGCAAATCATTTTTTTAAAAAATATATGAAAATGCTGTGTAAAAAATATTTTAAGATTTTAATATTAATCCGCATGACTCAATATTTTATCTAATTAATACGTGTAGATC